TAATGATAGCCAAGCTGTCTACCTATCGCCTTGTAGGACATACCAGCGGAATTCATGCCAATAATTTGCCATCTCTGCGCCTCTGCGTCTTCTTGCCATTCTTACTTACAATGATTTTGCATTCAGAAATTCGGGACTTAAATACGGATTTGATGCACGAGAAAATAGTGCATATTGGACGTGAAGAAGGGAGCAAGTTGCACGTGGGGAAAAAAATGCGCCTGATTTAAATGTCGCACCTGAACGCTCACATCCTTTTAATTATGTTTGAAATTATGAACATTGCTCAACATCATGAAAATTAAACCTTATTTTCAATAAGCAATCCTGAAAAATATTTGGGGGTGCTTAACTTTTTTCCAGGTGTATATATACATATATAATGCATAATAATTGAAATGTGACTGTATTTTACAAAATACTAGTCTACTAAAACATAGCCAAGACAGGTCACTTTGTAAAGATTAAAGATCAGTTTTATGTTATTGGATACAGTAACATGAGTGCACGTAACTTGCATCATTGTAACTTCTGTATTATTAGCCTGGCATGGCTGAAAAGTCAATATAATAAAATTTAATAAATATATATGTTATGAGATTATAATTTGTAGTCATTCTAGAAGGAAAAAGGCATAATTTATATTTATTTCCTTTTTTTTTAACTTGGTTATGAGCTCAGTCAAATTGACCAAATCTGTACAGAGATTCATTACTGAAAATAACAGATAAAATATAAAGTTTTTTCTTAAGAAATGTTTGATAACTATCTGGATGTTAAATAGATTTTGCATGTGAATTTGAAAATTTTCTGATGCACAAAAATATTTTTAATCTTAAAATGAAAATTATTTTGTATGTTGGATTGGCAACATGTGAAAAGAAAAAAAGGCACGAGAAAAACATTGCTTTACAAACCTTAAAACTTAACAGTAAAATTTGATATTTTGCATATGTAATGTTTACTGATAACCTGCCAAATTTCGTTAACATTTGCTTACTAATTTAAAAGTTACAGCATGAAACTATAACAAGCACAAAATGGTTGTGAGGTCGGTCCCAGGGACCTAGCCTGTGCTAAAAGAGTTAAGGTTAGTATTATTTAGGACACCTGAAGCTCTTACGACTCAGAATTGTTTCAGAATTCATATTCATTCCTTAAAAGTCAGAATTCTTGTGAGAAAGATGTCTTACATATTGTTGATGTCTAAAATAAGTGAAAATGCAAGTGGTATAACTGTATAAGTAACAACCTATTTAATAATTTTTTAAATCGGCATTATGTTTATCAATGTTAAAATATTTTCTCTAAATGTCATTATAACCATTGGATTTTAACTAAAAAGTTTGAAATGTTTGTCTTTATTTTCATTTTTGCATTAGTCACATTAATAGAAATAAAGATATAAACTTTGATATTGCTGGATTATAACGTGATTGTTATTAATGGTATTTTAACTTTGATTTATTTAGGTTGCTTTAGGACTATATTGTCAACACTGATTAATCCAAGATACTATATTATCATAGTGGAGGTTTCTTCTTACATATAAATAAATACTAAAACTTTGGTTACATTGTTACACAGCTAACATTTGAAAAATTAACTGGTATCATACTATAATTGTAAAAATTAAATATTCTGCAACTAGTGTCAAGAAATTAAACATTGTTACTTGAGATTTTCTTTATTATGTTCACCAAATAACATAAAATCATATTCATATCCGATACATTTAGTTTACTGTTTAGTGAAAGGTGGTGAGGGCACGTGACTCGCAATATGAGGGTCACGGGCTCGAATTCCCATCCCACTAAACATGTTCACCCTTTCAGCCATGGAGGCATTACGGTGTGATGGTCAATCCCACTATTTGTTTTTTAAAAAAAGAGTAGCCCAAGAGTTGGTGGAGGATGGTGATGACTAACTGCCTTCCCTCTAGTCTGATACTGCTAAATTAGGGATGGCTAGCTCAGATAGACCTCATGTAGCTTTGTGCAAAATTCAACACAAAAAATAAACTGTTTAGTGAGTATGGTAGACAACTAAAAGATATTTTGATGACTCAAATATTTATTGAATATTATTTTTATGTTTATCATATTCAAATAACCTACATAAATAAATTAGCTAACTCACTATTTAATTATTTCTAATTGCAATTGTCATATGTTTTAAATAAGTTATTATTACCCCCTACCTCTGATAGTAAGTATTAAACCAAAAAAAAATGTTTTCACAAAATGTATAAATGGCAACCTTCAAAAGAGGTCTCTGATATGAAACCAAGGGTAGTTTGAAATTAAAAATCAAAACAAAAGAACAATGTGAATGAAAACAGGAATATTAATACCATGTTAAATAATGCAGTGGTTCAAATGTTATGAAGGTAGCAGAAGCCTGTTTTTATTTTTTGCTCCTACAGGAGTTGGATTTAGGAGGCATGTACTAATTGAATGTAATAGATTAATGAGCCCATCATTTAATAAATTAGTAAATACCACTAATAACCCAACTCTATACAAAAGTATAAATAAGAAAAGAGCATAGCCTGCAACTGTAATGGAATACTTATCGTGGTTGGGTTCATAGTATTTCAAAAACGTTTTATGTACAGTACATGCTTGCTCATACATGTATTTTGAATTCTAGGTTAGCTATCTAGGTTTGCTCTGTTCAATTACAGCTGTAACTTTTGAACTAATATTTAATGTTTATACTATAAACAGTTTGTTAATACAGATTCTTATATAAAATCCCAAATTGTTTACAAACGTTAAATGTCGTGTAACTTTCAGCACAAGAGTTGGTGCAGTCATTAAGCCTGTCATAAACAAGTATCATATATTAAACATTATGTAAATTTCAGTAAAAAAGTAAGTCCATTTATCAAGCCTGTTTCAAGATAATCACATTTTAAACTTTATTTAATTTTCAGGAGTGGGTCCACTGATCATGATGAGATCAAATTGTAAACCTAATTTAATTTTCAGAAGTTGGTCTAGACATTAAGCCTATTGTCACAAGATCAATTGTTAAATCTTATGTAACTTTCAGCTCAGGAGTGGGTTCATTCATTAGGCCTTTCCTGGGGTGATCAGATGGAATATCTTGAACTGGAACTTCGAACTCCTGGCAGAGCACTCCAGATGCATGAAAAGTTATCTTCCCCTTACAGAAAAAAGTAACTTTTCCTTTTGTGTTAAGAATTCTGAGGAATATAATATATTGCAGAACATTTTTTATAAGCTTATAAACTAAATGCCGTAAAATCTTCAGCTAAGGTGATCGTTTGGAAATTACAAGTTAATTGTTTTAAGTGCAAAGTAAGTCTGTATTGTAAATAATAAAACTACAATTTTTATATTGTATATTAATCAGAAAGTTTACTTATTTGTGTTGTGATGCCACTGAAACTGGCATTTTTTTAACTTTTAATCTTTGAGAATTTTTTAACGAGATTTTTGTCACAGTTTGCCTCTAAGAATTCTGTTAAAAAGTTTAGTTTCATAAAGTACAAATTATTGAGTAGGAGTTAAAATGTTATTGAAAATGACTGATGAGCTTGTACAGACAAATTTTACAACAATCCTCTAGTATTTAGATATTTTAGTGTTGGATTTATTTACAGTATTTGTTTAACTACTGTGTGTGACATGCTACACCTGACACAGCTTTTGCAAGTCACTTTGCTATTCTACAAATGTGAAAATAATCTATTACTATAAACATTCTTCTAAGTTAAGTCTGCTTTAAAATCATATTCTGCTATTATGTATAGCTTGTTAGGATATGATGATTGTAATCACAGACAGCCAGAAGAAACACTGCATTAGAATTCTGGTATGGAATTTGGAGACTTTAATTTTGAACAAAGTATTCTCTATCATTGGTATAAAAAATCAAAATGAAAAACTGTATAAGCAGGACATTATTGTTGGTAATTTAAAGACTAATTTTGAACAAAATATTCTTGGTGTAGAGAAATCTAAATGAAAAAATGTGATAGCAGGACACTACATTACTGTTGGTTATTTAAAAACTTTTAATTATGAACAAAGTATTGTTGAAGTAAAGAAGTCCACATGAATAAACTGTTGGTAAATTCTGGAACAAATATTTGCTATCTCACACAGTTTAACTATCATCCTCAGTGCTCTGCCAAAGAGATATGCATGGCACTAGCCTTGTGAAAACTCCCATCTAATATCACTTGATTTCATGTGAACTTGCATCACTACATGGTGATGTCATCATTCAGAAAAAGCCCTCTACTAATAAAAGGATGACACGCCTCCATGCACACTAACTCTCCCTCTGCATTTGCACTCGTGAATCTTCATTCTAATCCTTGGCACTGTATTGACCAGACATATTTAATATTCTCATGTGTGTTCAATTTAATGAGATTTGCTATATCAATGAAAATTTGATTTTAATTTTCTTTAGTCTTTGTTTCAAAAGCTTTAATATTTTATTATGACAGTGTTTTATAATTAGTCTTGAGTGTGTGACATTATTCACATTTTGGTCTTATTTCTGCTGTGGCGTTTGGAGGCCCATTAAATGTTACAGTCATAGCAGCCATTGCTCAGTGTGTTGTGGATTACCACATCTTCATGGATTTGCTACTCCTGTCTCATCAGCCAAATTTCTTTTTCCTCAATTGTGAATGATATATTAGACTACGTCTTTCACTTACTTTGCTTTGGTAGTACCCTACCGTTCATTAAATGAACTTCAATCTTTCCTTCTTTTACTCGATTTCATTCTCAGGTATGTTTCTTTTCTTTTATTTTTGCCTGTGTTCTTTATTAATTTTCATTTATCACTTTATGACCCGTGAATCTTGGATTTATCTTTTCTTCTCTTTGCTTCTTATTAGGATTTCAATTTTTTCTTTCTTTAATAGCTCCTTTCTTATGTAAAATTCTTTGTCCCCTCCACTTTCGTCATCACTTTTGTCTAGATTTATTACCATTCTTCCCTTTCTTTTCCCAATTCTCTGTCATTGGTTTCTGTCTGACCAGCTTGGGGATCAGGACCCTTACCTTCTTTTTCCCTTTCTAATTCCTTATTTCCAATACAGTACATTACCTCCACTCACATAAATAACTATTCTTGTTCATTGCTGCTCTCTATATGAAATGATTTTTTATCACTGCCACAAGCCTTGAGCTCCAACATACCCTATGTTCAACATGGTTCAACTGCATTTTCCATGTAGTAAATCATCATCAATAAGATAGTAAATCATCATGTAGTAAATCATCATCAATAAGAGTGCGACACACCCTTCTGATGCATGAATCCCTCTATTGGATTCTACAGAACTATCGGTTTTCTTTTGGCAGCGCTCATGTCAAGACATTTTTATTATGCTCTTCAATCGTGTTTTTTTTTTTCTGTAAATTTGGTGCATTGCCATTTATTCTGAAGTGTGGGCACGTCGTCATCAGTAATGGTGACTACCTGGCAGGTTCTGATCCAGTGGGGGCTCAATCGACCAATTTTTTTCTCTTATGGCTAGTTTTCACCAGAGATCAGTGGGTTATTTTGGTATTATCCAAGGAACTTGTCATCCATTTCCTTTTCCCTCTTATGTGGTCTCTGGTGCCTATATCCTTTCCATTGCCTCAGGATCCTACCGTCAGTCAATGTCTTTCAGAAGCTGTACAAAATATTCTCTCCCAGAAAGCCATCAAACCTGTAACTTATTATTCTCCAGGTTTTTATTCCAGGCTGTTTGTAGTACCCAAGAAAACTGGGGACTGGTGGCCTGTGAATGATTTGTCCCATCTCAGTCACTTTAGGTTCTGCCCCGATTTACCAGAAAGTCTTTTCTCACTCTCAGGTGGGCTTTTTCTCCAGGTTTATGGATGACCATGGTAGATATCACAAATGCTTATTTGCATATTCCAATATCTCATCTGTCGAGGTGTTATCTTCAGTTTGTTCATAATGGGGTAGTTTATTAATTTTGCACCCTGCCCTTTGGGCTTACTTTGGCATTGTATTCATGCTCAGGGGTTATGCCTACACCATTACATGGATGACTGGTTTCTTTTAGTATGTTTTGAACAGGAGTTTACCCATCACACTCATCTGCTGCTCCTGGGTTATTAATCCAGTTGGAGAAGTCATTCCTTATACCTGCCCAATATCTTGTCCACTTGGGTGTTTTTTTTCAACAATCATCTCAGTTGAACACAACCTTCTTCTTTTTGACTCCATTTGGGTGCATATGAGGTCTCTTTAGTGGGCCCTGCATGACCAGTGAAACCTTGCATGGGATCTATTAGAGGCACCTATTTCCCTTCCTCTTTCCCTTGTTGGACAGGGTTCACACATCAGTAGGTGTTGTGCTTCCTCCCCCCACATCCATATTTGTATATCGTCATGGACACTTCTCTCCAGTCCAGGGAGCATGGGTTAATCAGCTAGAAGCTTCAGTTCTGTGGTCGAACAATCTTACCATATCAATATCCTGGAGATTCTGGCCGTACATTGTGCTTTGGATCATTTTCTTTATCTTGCCAGGAATTGTCTGGTTATGATCCATTCCGACAAGTCTACAGTGGTGGCTTATGTCACTCACCAAGGTGGCACCCATTCTCATTCCCATTGTGGTCAAACGTAGGATCTCTTTTTTTTTTGGGCCCACACACCTGATCAGTATTCATCTTCTTGCGTGCCATGTTCCAGGTGCATTCAATCTGGTCACAGATCATATTTCCCATCCTGTCAAAGTTTATCTGACAGAGTGGTTTCTTGATTCACTCATTTTCCAAGTGGCTGTATACCTTCAGTGGGATACTCCTCACCTGGATGCATTTCTCACACCCTCAATACCAAATTACCTCTGTCCGGATTGTCCCAAAGAATCGCTTAGTTTTTAACTCATTCCATCAATATCCTGGAGCTTCTGGCCATACATCGTGCTTTGGATCATTTTCTTCATCATGCCAGGTATTGTCTGGTTATGATCCATTCCAACAAGTGTACAGTGGTGGTTTATGTTACTTACCAAGGTGGCACCCATTCTCATTCCCATTGTTGTCAAAGAGTTGCTTAGTTTTTAGCTCATTCCAAGCACTCTTCCTCTATGGATGTTTATCAAAATAAGTGGACCTTTTTGTGCCATTGGTCCTTGGGTCAGGGTTTTTTACCTGCTCAACCCATTATTCCTCATTTTATGGATTTCCTCACTTGGCTGAATGATCAGGGGTCTTTGTTCTCCTCGATTGCGGGTTATCGGGCTGCCTTATCCCCTACTTTTCGTTTTTTCTGTTACCATAAAGTTTTTACCTCTTCTACCCTCTCCTTATTGTTGTGTTCCTTTCAGAATTGTCATCTTCCTTATCCCTTAAGACTTATTTCCTTCTCCTCTTGGCCTATGGATGTTGTAGGTTGGATTTATTTGCTATCAAAATTTCACGTACTAAGAAAGGCTGAGACCAAGAATCCTTTGATAAAGAGGCTGGTACATTTTTGTGGGGGGCAGGTCTGAGTGGACATTTATATTTTGGAGTAGTGTCCACTCCCCATCAGTGTGGTCAATCTTCTCTCTGTTTATTAGGCATATACCCATTCATGCTGTTACTGGAGGTTCACTTGGTTGTGCTCCACTCAATTTTTTCCACAGTTTTTCCTTGCTCCAACCACCCTTGTGGCTCATGTTCGAGAGCCTTTTTGTTTGGGGCACTAACTATACATTTTTGTGCTCATTTACATCCTTTTTTTTTATTAATGAGCTGCCTCTCTTGGCCAGTCCTTATTCTTTCAACAGAGCATCGTATGCACCCCAAGATCTACTGTGGGGGTTTATTGGACATGTCCATCTTGGACACTCTGCCACCCTTCTTTACTCTGGGCTTCCTCTCTTACGGTCCTCTATTCCTCATCCTTCAGCTTTGGCTTCCATTTTTCTCATCCAGTTTTGGTCTTACCTGTTTTTCTATCCTACTTTCCTATTCGTTTTGACTTTCTGGCCCCAGATTATTACACTAATATCCTTCTTTGCCCCTCTTGTTGGTGCCTTTCTGACTGCCTTGGCCTTGATATGCTCATTAATTGGACACTCTCTTCTTCTCACTATTATCATTTTTCTTTCTAGGTTTGCACTTTCTCACTTCCATTTTTCCTTGAGGATTGAGGTTATCCTCCCTCCACTCTCATGCATGG